CGTTGGCAAGCACTATATTATTCCAGCAGGTTCACATGAATCAATGATCGGGTGTCAGACTTGCATTTCCCCCCCGCTTTCAAAAACAACGGTCATATATTGGGGTGAATGACAATTGCAGTGTGCTTGCTGGACTAAAATGATCATTGCAGCCACTTCTTGTGCTCCAAGGCATAAGCAGGTTATCCGCTAGGAAACTGGGAAGAAATCTCCTATTCCTTTGAACAGAAGAGCCCACTGCTGGGTGACTGTTATTTTAGCTTTGCTATCTGTGCACTGACAGATGCGAAATGCTGCGTTCCAAGCACCGTTTTCCCTTGTAGTTTGGCTTTTGAAAAAGCCCTTATCTTGTAGTGACGCAGATGAGTGATGTAAATGTCTAGAATTTGCTTCAGAATCATCGGGGAGTGGTGATGTGAGGGGAAGCATAGAGCAAACAAGACCAGCCCCATGTTGGTCATAGTAAAAGCCAGGCAAGGAATTCGTGGAAAGTTATGCCATGCTCTACATTGGTATGTTTGGAATTCTTGGTAGTAGAGTTAAAAAAAAATTTTTTTAATGTTTTTATTGATTTTAGAGTGAGAAGAAGAGAGAGGGAGAAACATCCAGGTGAGAGAGAAACATCTAGCAGCTGCCTCGTACACGCCCCCATGTTGGTCATAGTAAAAGCCAGGCAAGGAATTCGTGGAAAGTTATGCCATGCTCTACATTGGTATGTTTGGAATTCTTGGTAGTAGAGTTAAAAAAAAATTTTTTTAATGTTTTTATTGATTTTAGAGTGAGAAGAAGAGAGAGGGAGAAACATCCAGGTGAGAGAGAAACATCTAGCAGCTGCCTCCTGCACGGCCCTGACGGGTAAATTGAACCAGTGACTTCTCAGTGCATGTTTTGATGCTCAACCAACTGAGCCACACTGGCCAGGGCCTTGGTAGTAAGGTTTTTTTAATGACATTTCTGTAGCGGTTCCCAGGCTGGTTTTCCTGACCATTTTAAAGTCTCTAAAAGGTGAGCCTGGCTTCTGAGCCTCGGTTTTGATTCATTCTCTACATTACAGTTAGTTCCTGGAGTTAGTACGTTCGCTATGGTGGTTAAGTTGGAGGATAACACATATCTCAAACTCAGGTGAGGTTGCCCTCTGCCTCCTCCTGGGAGGGGCGGTGGGGGAGTGTGGGGAGAGCATCTCGGAGCCCCACTGCCTGGCTCTGATGCGGTCTCCCCCACTTTCTAGCGGGGAGGCCTCAGCCTCTGGGAATCCACTCCCTTCCCTATTAAAGGAGGGGTGAATGATGGCGTCAGCTTCATGGGGCTGTTGTAAGGATCAAATGAGTAGCGCACAGTGGGTGCTACATAAATGCTTGCTGTGGTCCTTCCTAGAACATGAACGATTGGATGCCCATCGCCAAGGAGTATGACCCCCTCAAAGCTGGCAGCATCGACGGCACGGATGAGGACCCCCACGACCGCGCCGTCTGGAGGGCAATGCTGGCGCAGTACACCCCCAACAAAGGCGTCACGGGGGACCCCCTCCTCACCCTGTTTGTGGCCAGACTAAACTTGCAGACCAAAGAGGAGAAGCTAAAGGAGGTGTTTTCCCGCTACGGGGACATCCGGCGGCTTCGGCTGGTGCGGGACCTGGTCACGGGCTTCTCCAAGGGCTACGCTTTCATCGAGTACAAGGAGGAGCGCTCCCTGCTCAGAGCCTACCGGGACGCTGACGGCCTGGTCATCGACCAGCATGAGATATTCGTGGACTACGAACTGGAAAGGACCCTCAAAGGGTGGATCCCTCGGCGGCTGGGAGGAGGCCTGGGGGGGAAAAAGGAATCTGGGCAGCTGCGATTTGGGGGGCGGGATCGGCCTTTCCGAAAACCCATTAATTTGCCCGTGATTAAAAGCGATCAGTATAGAGAGGGAAAAAGGGAGAAGAGGGAGCGCTCGCGATCCCGAGACAGACACTGGGAGTCGAGGACCAGGGACCGAGACCATGACCGGGGCAGGGAGAGGAGGCGGCAGGAGAGAGAGCCCGCCCGGGCGTGGCCTGGAAGTGACTGGGAGAGAGAGAGGGATTTCAGAGACGACAGGGCCAAGGGGAGGGAGAGGAGGGACAGGAGTAAGTAGAGGCTCAGCCTCCGCCAGCAGAGCCCAACAGAAGGTAGAACAGAAGTAAAAGCAGAGAGAGATCCGCATGGCCTGTATACAAAGCGTAACCAGTGCTAAGCGAAGCTCCCGATGATGCTCTGGCTCAGGTGGCGCAGTCAGCTGGGCGTCGTCCGTGCACTGAAAGGTGCTGGTTCGAATCCTGGTCAGGCCACATGCCCGGGGTGATCGATGTTTCTCTTTCTCTCTCCCTCCCTTCCTCTCTAAAAAATCAATTAAAAAATATTTAAGAACAAACAAACTTACTGATGATAAGGCAGTGTGGGCAAGTTTCCTTTCTAATCTGAAACCCAGGTTCAGGCTGAACACACTGATGTCATGAATGTCTCTTCATCTTAGAGTTCTGAGGGCACGTTATCTAATAAGCTCTGAGAAATAACTTTGTACCGAAAGGTGTGTGCAAGGGTGTGTACTGAAGGGCGTGTGCAAGGAGCCACCGGTCTTTCGTTTAGCAATAGGGGATTGGTTTTGAGGATTTATTTTCTCCCATCTATTAGAAATGACCATTTGAGGGCCTGGCAAAAAGAGGCGATGGCCCAAAATCATTTGTATTGACCTGTGACTCCTGGGAACCCGGATCCAGTCAGAATATGTTGTAACTTTTCCATCCTTATGTCTATAGTACAAGGAGTTGCTAAATTGAAATAAAAATGGGATAGAAAAGTGAATCTGAGGAAAATTTCCAGAGATTTAATACCACATCACCCCTTCCTGCCAAAACAACCCAGCAGCCCCTGGCCCCAGTCCCTGTGTCCTTGTCACTGAATGTGGTAAAAGTCTCAACAATGACAAGCAAACATTCCCCACCCCCTCTAGTCAGAGTGGAAGACCTGGGGGGTCATCACCCCCGCTGGTGACCCCCGCCCAGCTGTACCTGAAGGTGTCCTCAGGCAAGTCCTGGGGTCTCCACCGACAATGAGGAGGTCTCCCAGGCTCTTGAGGAAGAAGAGCAGAGAGGTCAGAGGCCCGCTGGGGCACCAAGCACAGGCTGCCGGCCAGAAATAGGGGCCAGGCCTATGGGCCACCCAGAAGCCACCTGGGGAGGCAGGAGAGACTGGGCAAGACCCAAACCCATAGACTGTACAACCCCAAAAGTGAACCCGGATGTGCACTATAGACTTTGGGTGACAGCAATATGTAGGCTCATTGATTGTAACAAATGTCCCACTCTGCTGGGAGATGTTGATAATGGGGGAGGCATATGGGAAATCTCTGTACCTTTCAAATTTGCTGTGAACTTAAAACTGCTCTAAAAAATGAAATCTTAAAAAAAATATAATAGACAAAATATTTGAACAGATTCTTCACAAGGGAAGATAGATGAGTGGCCATACTGAGCAGATGAAAAGATGCTCAACATTGTGAGTCATCAGGGAAATACCTCAATTGAACCACCATGAGACACCGTTGTGCATTCACTGGAATGACTGAATTAAAATGATTGCCAGTACCAAGTGCTGATGAGGATTTGGAATTCTCACACGTTGCTAGTGGGAATGTCAAACAGTATAATCACTTTGAAAACGTTCTTTCTACAGCTAAACATACCTTCATTATTTTGTGTGTGTGTGTGTGTGTGTGTGTGTGTGTGTGTGTGTTTTAATCCTCACTCAAGGACATCCTTATAGAGAGGAAGGAAGGGCGGGGAGGGCGGGGCGGTGTGAGAGAGAGAGAACGTCGATCGGTTGCCTTGTGTATGTGCCCCAACCAGTGATTGAACCTGAAACCTAGGTATGTGCCCCGACTGGGAATTGAACCAGCAACCTTTCAGTGCACAGGACAGCGGTCAACCTCCTGAATCACTCTGGCCGGGCAGCCTTCATTATTAGACTCAGCCATTTATTTACCCACAAGAAATGAAAACATTGTCGACACAACAGCCTGTGCAGGAATGTCCACAGCAGTTTTATTCATGATGGCCAAGAATCAGAAACAGCTCAAATGTCCACCAGCAGGTAAATGGATAAGCAAATTGGGTCCTATCCATACAGTGGAATACTACTCAGGAATACAAAGGAATATATATTAATACATGCAACAACCTGCATGGATTTTTAAAACTTTATCGGGAGCAAAGCCAGGCACAAATGCGTACATACAGCATGGATTTATGTCAAATTCGATATAGAAGAGGCCAATCTGGGCAGTAGTGACAGAAAACAGGTCAGTGGTTGCTTGGGGCTGGGAAGGGGTGGGCTATTGATTGCAAAGGGAGAGTTGGGGGTGAGGTGAATGTTCTACCTTGATCGCAGTGTTCGGTGGTTTTGTGAGTGGATAAATCTGTCTAAACTCATCACATGTATACTCACTGTGGATACATTTTATTGTACGCAAATTATACCTCAATAAAGTTGATTTTAATTTTATTTTTTATTGATTTTTTAGAGAGAGAGAAACATCCATTTGTTGTTCCATTTATTTATGCATTCATTGGTTGATTCTTGTATGTGCCCTGACCGGGGATTGAACCCACAACTTTGGCCTATCAGGACGACACTCGAACCAACGGAGCTTCCAGCCAGAGACAATAAAGTTCATTTTTTAAAAGTCAATTCTTCAGAAAATCCTTTTCTGAGCATGCACACCCCTCAAACTAAGTCAGCCCCACCTGCACCTCTACCCCCGGAGTGTGCACGCCTTTCACAACCTGTATTCTTCTTCCACTGCATTTCCCTGAGTGTGTAGTTATGTTTTTGATTGGTTTCCTGTTCGTTAACGGCCTCTAGGTGGGGAACACCAAGAGGCCCAGGATCCCATCTCTCTGGCTCACCGCTATTGCTAGGCACCTGGCACCATTCCTGCACACAGTAGGTGCTCAGATAATAAGCACTCACTAAGTGAACAAACACGGGAGCTAGTAAACGGACAGGAAGCAAAGGGAGGAGCGGAAGCTATGTCGGCCCCAGCCACCGCGGTGGGGCTACAGCTCTGTGGACTGGATGACCTTGGGGCCCCTCCACGGGGGGCCCTGGCTCCGCTCGGGGAAGTTGAGTCTGTGCAATTCTTCGGAGATCTCCAGGAAGGTCTTGCCTTTGGTCTCAGGAAGGAAGAAGCCAGTGTAGATGGCCCCACAGACACAGACAACGAGGAAAGGCACATAGAGGAAGTAGGACAATCCCTCCTATAGGTTAAAAGAGACCCTGAGACCCAGTGCGGCTCTATTCGGCCCCAGGACAGGTCTGCCAGAGAGACGTGTCTGTCTTTGCTTAGAAAAGCCCCATCCCCTTTAGTCTCAGTGTCCTCGGGTGAAGGCCTCCCACTGGGGTTCTCATGCGGACAGGGACCACACCTAAGGCAGCTCCCCCTGGGGGGAGGGGCAGGCCTACCATGATGAAGGGGAACCCCAGCCCAACCAGGAAGAGCATGATCCACATGAGCGCCCCGCAGACCATGTAGGCGGCAGGCCGGGCCATCTGGTCAAACAGCTCCGTGGCCAGGATCCCTGTCACTCCAGCTGAAAGGAGGGGAGGGACAGGGGCCTGCCAGCCAGGGAAAGTCCCCAGAGATGGCAGTGGGGGACCCCTCGGTGTTCTTCCAGAAGCTGGGGGATGGGTGGGGGTGGGGCACACAGGTGACACTGCATTCACCTCCACCCGTCTCTCACCCAGGTGCCCATGTTCCTTCGGCAAGTCCCAAAGCCCAGAGCCCCTTGAGCCCACTCACCGGGGCCGATGCCAAAGCTGAGGATGAAGGCAAAGATGCAGGACATGGCCAGGTAGGGCATCCAGGGGAAGGAACTCTGCGGCAGAGGGCCGGGGTGAGGTGGGGGTCAGCCGGCACCCCGCCACCCTCCTCATCCCCGCCGGCTACCTGCAGGCACAGGGCCGCTGTGAAGATGCTCCCCCAGCAGGTCATCAGGCAGTACCCCCCAATCAGCAACACCCGCCGGCCTACCCTCTCAATGACCATACACTGCAAAGGAAAGGGGCCTCAGCAGCTGGCCTGGGACCCCGGGCCACGGTCCCCTTGGCTTGGGGTGAGCAGTGGGGAGGGGCCTCATGAGGAAGCAGACAGTGGGGTAGGGAGCAGCTTATTGCTGCAGTTGATTAAGAAATTAATTTCCCACAGGCCACCCAACTTCACTGAGTTCCCTCATCTCAAAATCGCGGTTCGAGTGCCCGGCAAATAGTAGGTGCTCAATAAACACTGGCGAACTCCCCGCATTTTAACAGTGACCTGGAGTGGGAAACAGCTTAAAGAAGAGGCCTGGAGCCCTCAGGGTGTCAGCACCCCAGATCCCCCCTCTTCCAGGGGCTGGGGGAGGCCAGCCCAGAGCCAGACTCACACTGATACACGCTGTGAGCAGCTCGCAGCACCCGGTCCCGATGATGGCATACTGGACCTTCTCCGGGGGGATTCCCGCCTCCCGGAACACGGAGGAAGCGTAGGCGTACATCTGGGGAGGCGGGCACAGGGCCGGTTCTGGGGCACGGGCTCCCTGCAGCCTCCCGTGGCTCCCAGGGGCCTGCAGCACGCAGTCCGCACGGAGGGGCAGGGGCGGGGGATCTCACCGAGTCGTTCCCGCAGAGCTCCATGGCGCTGCCCAGCACTACCAGGCTCACCACCTGCCTCCGCAGGGTGCGGTCCTGGAACAGCTCCCAGGGGCGCCAGGCCCGCAGGCCCTCACAGGCCACGCGCTCCTCCTCCAGCTCCGCCAGCTCCACCGCCAGGTCCTCAGTGCCCCGCAGCCGCTGCAGAGCTGGGACAGAGAGGGGGTGTTGAGCTCTCTCCCCCCTGGCCTCTCTTTGGTCTCCCACAGTGAGCTTCCTATCCCCAACTGCCCCCTCTCTCTCTGGGCCCCGGGTGGTCAGATGGGATGATCTCCCTGGCCCTGTCAGTTCGCAGCCTCATGGACCAGAAAGGGCGTTAGAACCTCGGGATTCAGTGGATCCATCCAACGAAACAGTGACTGGGTGAGTCTGCGGGGAGGGCAGGCCCCTGTTCCAGCCCACGCCTTCTGGGACCCGGCTCTTTTCTATTTTGCCATCGTTATAAAATCTCACCAGGCTGGCCCAATAGTGCCAGAAGGAGCAGAGATTGCCCAGCTGGGAGCGCACAGATCAGCCGATGCCCAATAGGCCTGCATGAGTGACCGGAAGGGGTGAGAGCCACCAGCCAGACCCAGCCCTAAATCAGCCAACCCCAGAGAACTCACAGAGGCGCGAGCTACGCAGCTGCGTCTGTTGTTGGCCACGGAGATGCAGCGATTATTAAGCAGAAATGGAAAACCAATCAATGAATTGGTACAAGGAGAGGGTGCCGCCATAACTAAGAACTGTGACTTATGGTATCGGTTCCAAGACCAGACAGAGAATGGTGAGGAGGCCGGACAAATGCAAGCACGTACCTCGATTGCAGGCTCCTCTCCGGCCCAGGCCCTGGTCGGGGCTCATGCAGGAGGCAACCAATAGCTGTGTTTCTCTCACATCGATGTTTCTCTCTGTCGTTCCCTCTCTCTTCCACTCTCTCTAAAAATCAATGGAAAAATATCCTTGGGTGAAGATTGAAAAAAAAAGAAAAAAGACATGAGCACAAAAAGACCTTCAGAAGGAACAAATTGTAATTGGATTTAACTTATTCCAAACTTGCTAGGTTAGTTTAATAAAAAGCAAACCTCCTTCTTTTTCTTTTTAAATATATTTTTATTGATTTTAGAGAAGAAGGGAGAGGGAGAGAGAGAGATAGAAACATCAATGATGAGAGAGAATTATTGATTGGCTGCCTCCTGCACACCCCCTACTGGGGATCAAGCTGGCAACCCGGGCATGTGCCCTTGACCGGAATCGAACCCAGGACCTTTCAGTCTGCAGGTTGACACTCTATCCACTGAGCCAAACCGCGAGGGCTATAAACTCATATTTTTAAAGAGAGAAAGAGAGACAGAAAGAGAGAGAGAGAGAGAGAGAGAGAGAGAGAGAGAGAGAGATGTGCAGCAGAGCTGAACTCTCCAGCCCAGACCAGCCTGGACGGGCCAGTCCTCAGCTGCCTCTGACAGCAGAGACAGCCCAGCTAAGACCAGCAAGCAGGCTGTGCAGCCAGCCCATGAACAAATGAATGGAAAGCAAAGTAAATGATTGTTGTTGTTTTCAATCCTTACCCGACGGCATGTTTATTAAGTTTTAGGGAGAGAGGTTGGGGAACAGAGAGGGAGAGAGAGAGAGAGGGAGAAGGAGAGAGAGAGAGAGAGAGAGAGAAGCATTGATCGGTTGCCTTCCTGACCAGAATTGAATCGAACCTGCAGCCTTTTTGGTCTTTTTGGTGTACGGGACGACGCTGCAACCACCTGGTTGGGGTAAGTGACTGTTGTTTTAAGCCAGAGATTTGGGGATTGTTCTGGGGCCACAGCTAATGAGTAAGACCGTCAGCACCCCGCTGGCCTTGGGCCAGGGAAGTCGCACATGGTATTTCATCCTGCACGTGCGTGGGAGCTTTCTCTGCACCGCCCTGGGGTTTTGAACGGACTGACGGACCTTCAGAGAGAGGGACAACCTTTCCCTGAGAAAAGGGGACCCCCATGCTCTGGGCAGAGGCGCCCCTTGGCCGAGAGTGGTCTAGGGACCTGAGGTCCGGGACTCACCTGCCAGGCAGGCCTCGGTGTCTCCACGGTCAATGAGGAGGTAGCGTGGGCTCTCGGGGAGCAGGGGCAGGGAGGCCAGCTGCAGCACCCCAGGCACCAGGCAGCTGGCCAGCAGCAGGGGCCAGACCTGCCGGCCACCCAGAAGCTCCCTGGAGAGGCAGAGGAGAGGCCAGCCAGACACCCCCATGCCAGAGCCCTGCCCCCTATCCACCTGCTCTCCCCCCCACCCCCAACTTGCCTGCCTGTCCTGTTGAGGGCAGAGGGTCTGCATGGCTCTGCGCTTCTTCCTAACCAGCTCTGGGCCTGGACACCAAGACCCCTCCCACCAGGTAAGGAGCCCAGCCCAGGCACGGCTGTGGCCCCACCTTCTCCCTGACAACGCCCTTTCCAGGGCTTCAGGCTAGGCCTTCTCCCCTCTTTTCTGGGACGACCGAGACATGCTCCCCTTCAAAAGCCCAAACCTTTCCCCCTCTTGTCTGTCACGACCTGCTTTCTGCTTCCTCCTCTGGAGAGGATGTGAAGGGTGATTCGCACTGAAGTGTGGCTCACTGAGAACCGTTTTGTGCCCCGGCAGATGGAAGGGGACAGGTTCAAAGAAGCCATGCCTTCATCTACGTCATAGGTGGGGAGGAGCCTAGGCAAAGAAGGGTTTTACTGGCACATGGCGGGCACTTACCTGAGTCCCACCACTTGTCCCATCACGATCCCCAGGGCAGCGAAGATGGCTGAGGTCATGGTCACGGCTCCCCGGAACTCCTTGGGGGCACTCTCCCCCAGGTACATGGGCTGGATGCTCATGCCCACACCTGGCCGTGTGCACGCACAGTCAAACCGCAGCCTGGACCCCCTCCCCGCAATGCCCGGGCCTGCCTCCCCACCTCCTGGCACCTCGTCTACTGGGTCCTGGCACAGAGCTGCCCTCTCACCCCATAGGCTGAGAGCACCCTCCACCTGCTGCAGGGCCAGCAGGACTCCAGGTTCCTCCCCTCCCCTGCCCCCAGGACCTCTGAGATAGAAGTCTTTCTCAGATCAGCCCCATCCTGTCCCCTCACCAAAGTCCCACTCTGGTCATCGGGTCTCCCTAGACCCCGTCACTGGGCTGAATGTAAAGGGCTTCGAGGGAGCTGAGCGGGCGGTGGGAGAAGGGAAGGGCAGCATCCGATGCCCACCCGCTGTCCGGCTCTCACAGCGACACTGTCACTGACCACTACTCTGCAGTGCTCACCTCACCCTGACTTCTCCAGAGACACCTGGCACCCAGGCCACCAGCGGGAGAACAGAACCGGACAGCACTCCCCCTGCCCACCCCAGACGGCAACAGCTGCCAAACGCTAGGAGGCCAGTATCTGAGCATCATCCACCTGCTGGGAGTGCCAGCCCCTCCCTGCCTGGCCTGGGATCAGGAACCGGGTCTCATTTGGGTGCAGGGAGCTGGGAACAAGGTGATGCGTCGATGGCCAAAGCCTCAGAGGTGCCCTGCTCTCCCTCCAAGCAGGTGGGGACCTAGCCTTTGTGCTAGGTCCTCGTCCTCGGGGCACAAAGACAAAGTCTGACCCAATTCCTTTTCCCTGGAGTGTGGGCTGTTCTGAGTGACTCACTTCTCACAAGGAGACTGTGGCAAAACTTCCGGTGTCTGGCTTCTGAGATTAGGACATAAAAAACAGCCCAGCCGGTGTGACTCAGTGGTTGAGCATCGACCTATGAAGGTCATGGTTCTATTCTCGGTCAGGGCATATGCGGGGGCTGCAGGCTCCGTCCTCAGTAGGGGGCGTGCAGGAGACAGCCAATCAATAATTCTCTCATCATTGATGTTTCTCTCTCTCTCTCTCCCTTCCTCTCTGAAGTCAATAAAATATATATTTTTTAAAATTGGGACCCCCTCCTTGAGCACACACACACACACACACACACACACACACTCTTCTTTCTCTTTGATCACTTACGCTGGAGGAAACCAGCCACCCCATGTGAGGCCCACAGGCTGAGGACGGGGCCCCCTGCCAACAGTGATCCTGGAAGCAGGTCCTCCAGCCTCGTCAAACCCTCAGTGACTGCAGCCCTGCCTGACAGCGTGATCTCAGCCTCAGGGGAGCCCAGCCAGAGCCCCAGGTGAGACACTCCCAGGTCCCGACCCACAGGAGCCATCAGACAATGAATGTTGGCTGCTTTAAGCCACTACAGTTCTACATACTTTGTTTTACTGGACTGGATCCCTAATAGAGACGTTTACACCGGCTGTTTACACAGCAAGGAGTCAAGAGGGGATTTGCTGATGGGAACTCCTAAAAGCCCAGATGGATGTGCTCAAAACTCTGCTCCCTCACGTGACAGGCCCCGCAAAACTGAGGAACCCCTAACAGGCTATTCTGCCTCTGCCAACCTTCCTAATGTCGCGATCCTTTAATACAGTTCCTCATGTTGTGGTGAACCCCAATTTCATTGTTACAAATTGAACATAATTAAAGCATACTGATTAATCACAAAAACAATATGTAATTATATATGTGTTTTCCGGTGGTCTTAGGCGACCCCTGTGAAAGGGTCGTTCGACCCCCAAACGGGTCTCATTAGGAAGGTTGAGAACCGCTGGTCTAGAAGATCAGAGAACCCATCTTAGATGCCTTTACACCTTGGCTGCCAGGAAGCTCGTGCCTACCTAGCGCATTACTCAAACACAGGACACCCCCCCGCCCCCCTGTTGGTGTGGGTATGGAAATGTTTGTCCTCACATCCCTATACAACTTTTTTGATTTTCCTATATCCACTTTCAATGTCTAGTTAGATGAGCCTTTTTAGATAAACCATACTTAATCATTTTTGCAAAATGAAGGTAGGCATGAGTGAAAAGTAAATCAACAGATAAAGAGAATAAATTAATGAGCAAAGAGAAGAACAGAATGAGCAGGAAGGGAGAGGCAGGTGAGATGCCCTCCCCCACCCCCCATACCTGCGCTGACGCCCATGAGCAGCCGTCCCAGCATGATCATCTCGAAGGAGCCTGCTCTGTGGCTGAAGCCAAACAGGACTGCCGCGGCCACCACGAAGACGTTGTTCACTAGGAGGGACTTCTTCCTTGGGGGGAGTGGGGCACAGGCAAGAGAGGCTCAGGTCAGTCCAGAGGGACAGCCCCTGGGGAGCCCTCTTTGCAACCCCAGCCAGCCCTAATCAGACCCGTGTGTGTGTGTGTGTGTGTGTGTGTGTGTGTGAACTGTGCTAAGGACTCTAAGTGACTGGGTGGGAATGACCACTAGCCATGGTACCTGGGTCACACGTGGTAAGTCCCAACGCACTTCAAACCATTCTCCTTCCTGCCTGTCCCACAGCTTGAAATGACAGATGGATACGTATGGCTTTATCCTCAGATAAGCACCCCTCTCCTCAAACTCCCTTGTGAAAGGAAGGGACCGGGAGCCCTATTGGCGTGTCTCAGTGGTTGAGAGTCGACCTATGAACCAGGAGGTCACGGTTTTATTCCTGGTCAGGGGACATGTCTCGGTTGTGGGCTCGGTCCCCAGTATGGGGTGTGCAGGAGGCAGCCGATCAATGATTCTCTCTCATCATTGATGTTCCTATTTCTCTCTCCCTCTTCCTTCCTCTCTGAAATCAATAAAAATATATTTAAAACAAAAGAAAGATGCCAAAACCGGTTTGGCTCAGTGGATAGAGCATCGGCCTGTGGACTGAAGTGTCCTGGGTTCGATTCCGGTCAAGGGCATGTACCTGGGTTGCGGGCACATCCCCAGTGGGAGATGTGCAGGAGGCGGCTGGTCGATGTTTCTCTCTCATCGATGTTTCTAACTCTCTATCTCTCTCCCTTCCTCTCTGTAAAAAATCAATAAAATATATATTAAAAAAAAAAAAGAAAGAATTGGTTACAAAGGGGGAAATGAGGCCCAAAGGGGGAAATTCGGCTATTGTTTACAAATAGCATTTGTTGGCAGATGTGGAACTAGACACTGGAGTCCTCCCTCTGACACAGCAGACTCCTCCCTCCACCAAATCCGCCTGAGCTGTGACTCTCATGGTGAAGTTACAGGCATTCCTCGGCCTGCAGACTGGGGTGACCCTCAGTAAAGGTCACTGGGGGCACACAGGAAGCACTTACCTTCCCAGCATGACGGCCAGGGGCCCTGCAAGCAGCGCTCCAAAGAGGCCCCCCAGGGGGTACAGAGACACGATGAGGGACCACATGATCAGGATCAGGTGGTCAGGCAGTGGCTGGCCGGTCCTCGCCTGCCATGTCTGATTGGTAAATTCCTGAATGTGCTGTGAACAGAGATGCCAGTCAGC